AACTTGCTCTGTGTTGCTCACTTCACCATCAGTAAGAACAATCACTTGACGATGGTAGCCATCACGCTGTACCTGCTGGAAAATAGTTGAGAGAGGTTCGTAAATTTCCGTTCCACCGAAGTTTGCTGCCATCTGAAAAACATGTGCAGTAGCCTTGTGTAGGTTGTCTTCTCTGTATTTTTTACTTCCCTCCCACAATGAAGAAAAAGTAAAGCCAAAGCTCATGATGTTAAAATACGAGTCCGTTGGCAATGACTTTAGGAACAGCTGCAATGCATCTTTCGCCTTCTCCATCTTTTCCCCACCCATTGATCCACTACGGTCAATCACAAATATGAAATCACACTTTAATGGGGGCAGTTTGAAACTTGGAACTAATGTGACCCTTGCTGCCACAGTGGAATCAAGACTCTTCTCTAAAGTCAATCTTGGCTTATGAAGTTCTTCTGTCTCAAGAAGCAAAACGAAATCTCTGTCCATATCGGTCGAAGCTCCTTGGAGTTTTGCTTCTGTCTTGAAGTACTTTCCTCCAAGAAAAACCTCATTTTTTGAGGGGATGTTGATTTTATGTGTGGGACTGTTGATGGACAGAACTTTCTGATCCGTTTCAATATGGACTTGGATTTCTAAGGGGTACGGTGAGAAGATGGAGTAATCGATGCCACAGATGACTTTGGCCGCTTCGCTTGTATCACCTTGTGGTATATACCTCGGAGCAATAGTAGTCGGTAGAAAAAATCGCAGTGCATTTCCCTCTGCTGCTGCCTCTGTCACATAGGTTAGTGTGATCGTTGCGACGCTCCCGGCTGGGAGATTCCCGATTTTGGCCTGAAATATATCTAGTTTGGTCTCCTCGACAAGAAATGCAGTCTGTCCCTGTTTCACCGACTCTTCGTAGATATGCCTTGCTTCTTCCTTCTTCCTCACTTGTCCCTGAATTTTCCTCCCCTCTATCTCTGCCTGAAATCCGCATATTGCGGCTCTGTCGTCCATGGGGAATACATATTGAGTCTCCACTGGCCTGTTGGGGAAAAATAATACCGGGTGATGAAATTGCAATATAGCAGCAAACCAATGCAATATAGCAGCAAATCCAATCACAGCGGACTACTTGCCAATATCATTGTACTCTTTCCCCTCACCCCCCATTTTTGGACTGGGATTTGCGTCGCATCCCAAGTTCCACATATTATCTAGTGTCCTTTCTGAGTATTCACCCTCCCGCTGATTCATTTCTAAAGCTTTCAAATTCATCCTTATTGAAAACCATATGCGGAAATATGTCGCTTCCTCTTCAATATTTCGAATGATTTATTGAAGAGAACAAGAGAAGAAGCATTTTCTTCCCACCATTTCTGGCTTCTAAGACGTAATGATTTCGAATAAATGTTTTATTAAAGTTTTATTAATTTGCAAGGGTCGTCTTGAGGTCATTTTCAATATTCTCTTAGCTTAGCTCCTTAGTTTTGACCCAAGTCAAGGTTTGCTCATCCTACCTAAAGTTTATCTTCTGTTAGTAGTTGTTATGAGACGCAAGATGACTTAATGCTTTATTCTTAGTAAGTCATCAAAATATCTTCATTGACAGACATTGTCTCGATGTGATAGTTTGATGCACTTTAAGGATATGGAAAGTCAGTAGGGACTTGGGTGAATAAGTTCACCTTCTTGGTCTAGACAGTTATCTGGTACCGCTATGGGCTGGTGGCATGGGACGAACTATCGTACGTTTCCAAGTTCCTCATTCGATAATATGTTGTTGCGAACTTCATATTTCATCTATAACAGCGCGTTCGAAAGGTGTTACTTTCCGTGATATCTCCTTCATCTCAATGGTCTCCACGCCCCCCCCCTTCCCACACCAAACATTGATCCAGATAGCTGGCTTCAAATTCTCCAATGAGCCTTAACCCTTTTAGTGTCAAGGGAACGGTATATCGTCGATTTTAGCCTACGAATCGGCTGCGTGGCACTAAAAGGGTTATTAACCTTCAGGGATGGTCATGTCTCCTATTTCCTTTCCACTCTACCTTTTTCTTCTTACTATTGAACGATGCCGGAGATAAACGCCTCTGAAGAGACCCATCGAAATCGTGACCTTCGACCCTACTTCCTGTCCACACTGGTGACCTTAGAGTCTCGAAAAGTGGCTCTTGGGCCCTCCTTCGAGGTCCCTAACAATAATTAAAGAGCAGAATTTTGATCCAGGGGGATCAATTTTTATCTTTTATATGTACCTTAAAAGGAATCTTTCGTCTTCTGTCGGACTCGCGATGGAAAAAATGGAGATTCCTGCTTCCCTCGAAAGCAGGAATCACCTCATGACGGTATGTTGTGGTAGCTTACTGGTTCTCCTCGTTCCTGTATGTTTGAGTGAGGGTGACTTTGATGCAGGCATCCAACCAGGTGACATCGACTGAAACTTTGGTCAGAGGGATCGGGTAGTACTTCCCGTGCCACAGGATCACCATGCCGCATTCGCAGTTTTTATACTTCCCAAAAGTATTCACGAACATCCTTCCTAGTTGTACCTGTGGATATGAAAACAGAAACCAATGAATGGAATGACCAAACACTGAGTGCTTTTCCTCCTGCTGCCCCAAGGATACTACGTTATTTCAGGGAAAAGTGATACTTGTATCGGCTCCAAACAGTCCTTCATGCCTCAAGAATTTCCATTAGAATTTCCTGCAATGAGAAGAAAATATATTTCACCATTCCTGAGTATACTCCCTCCGCTCTGAATAAACAGAGATCAGGAATAGGAAAGGCAATACTTTACACGGATAATAGTATTGCAACCGTTAAATACCCCATTTTTACATTTAACTATAGTGTCTTACTGTAATTGCGAATAAGCGCTAAAGCCGGGCTTAGAATACCACCCTGTAGACCTATTTGGCTAACCGGATGGAATCACTCTCCTTGTGAGAATGACGATTAATAAGAGGACGGGGTACTGTTTTGATAATGGAGTCGAGATCCCGATAAATCTAGGATCCGATGATGAAATATATGATGATGAGATCTCATCCAGGCGATCCTTCATCATCCTTCCATTGGGGATGAAAGAGGACAACACGTGCATTACGCGGGGACGTTTTAAACGTCCCTTGCTGACAAGTCCGTATCGGATCCTCGGGTCTGTATCGGGGGAGGTGGGTGTGCGTCGAATGCATCTGCCTTTGCAACATAATGGATAACATGGAAAGAAAGTGATGATTGCGTTTGGTTTGGTTGTGTAGAGCAAAAGTGCGTGTGCTTCAAGTAGGAGATCCTTGGATCGATTCCAGGCCGCAATGTTGTTTATCTTTCGTCATGCCATTTGAAATCTTCCCCCCCCCCTTTGAATTATTAACAATTGACTTTTTAACACTTGGCCGTTCAATCGACACTGATGAATAATAGCGATTAACAATTTTTTCATTTCCAGATTTTGAATCCTTCACTGAAAATTAAGAAATTCAGTCGTTGCTTAGATATTTAGGTACATATAATATTTCCTGAAGTAAATAATACCTTTGTTATGCCACAAAAATTTATACAGAAACAACTAGAAAATACCCTCGCGCCGATTATCGTAGGAGAAAGCGAATAATAAATATCAGACCATTTGCAATCGCCAAGGTGACGTAGCGAAGATAATGCGATGTGACGGAGCGCTTCGTGGAAAGGGCGTGGAAAGCGGCAAGAGATGTGAGAAAAGTTCATCCACGACTTGAGCCTCAGCACGTAGACGATCGGAACCCGTCGTCGAAAGACGCGTACACTCGATTGAGTGAAAAGGGTCAGAGCACATCCACTTTTACCATGCAGTGGCCTGAGTCAGTCGCAGCTATGACTTATGTCATAGGTATTGACTCATAGCCATGACGTTCTACATCTGCCGTCGTTGGTCAGACGCCAGTTCGCCAGACGAACGAAATAACTACGTTGCTATGACGATGATGTGCGACTGTACTGCGTTTGGGATGTTTTCAGAAATGTTGGGGAAACGCATGAGTCAGACGTCCCGATACGTAGAAAAGTTCTGAGTGGGGTCGCACTGACACCTCCGGTCGATTGTTAGTAATAAGTCATTTACCATTTACCGGCAAAGCCTGTGATGGATCGAGTGCTTACCTCATGAGTGCCAGGCCATCATTACAACTATGAAATAGTAATATATTTATTGCAGGAAAATAGGCTCTTGGGTAATATGGGCATCTGTTTCCCCCCCCCC